AAATAAAAATAAAATTACATACACATGTATGTATATGTATATATGATGTATTATTGATTATTGTAGAATTCTGACCAATACAGATACGGAGAAACAGAGTGTAAACCCTAGGAAACATAGTGCAACCCCATCTCTAGAAAAAAATGAAAGAATTAGCCAGGCATGGTGGCATGTGCCTGCAGTCCCAGCTACTCAGGAAGCTGAGGCAGAGGATCACTAGAGCTCAGGAGTTCAAGGCTTCAGTGAGCTCTGATCCTGCCACTGCACTCCAACAGGGCAAGATCCTGTTTCTAAAACAAATAGAAATTTAAAAAATAGAAATAAAAAAACAGAGTGTGTTATCCAGGATAAGATAGGACTTTCACTCCAATGAACAAGGCTACATAAAATGTCCTTGTATGTATTTGTTTTGGGCGTTATAAGATTTTTTCAAGAAGAAAAAATGAGCTATCAGTTATCTCAGTAAGAGTAACTGCAAATATTACACACACACTCATCCCCCCACCCCTTGTGGTCAGGCAGGACCATGTAACTGAACCTTACCAATGAGATGGAAGCAGAAGTGTTGCATGGCACTTCAGGTAGAAGCATCAAATAGCTATTTTTCTCTCCTACTGCCACAGCCACCATGGAGACTGAGATGGTGCAGCCTCTGTTGGACTGGGTCCCTTTTGACCTGTTTGGATTGTATTATGTGGGTGACCATTTCCACAGTTAGTTACTGACCTGTGGGGTTGTTACACAGAAAGACCTTGCCTCCCTGATTCATACACATGGTAGGCACATTTTCAGTTTTATCAGATGTTCTCAGGTTCTGGATGTCTTTCTGAGCCCTCCCTCTCCGTGACCATCACTGATTCCCTCTCCTGCCCACCCGTCAAGTATAAGCATCTCTCAAGAGCCTCCCTTTGTCTCCCTTCTCTTCTCAATCTATCTTTTCTCTTTGGTTAATGCCATATTGTGACTTCGATTCTGTCCTCCATGAGTATTCTCTAGAACAGTTAGGATTAGATTCAGCTTGCAAAAGAAAAGAAGAAGAGGATGGGTGAGGTGACTCGGGCCTGTAATCCAAACACTTTGGGAGGCAGAGGTGGGAGGATCAGCATTTTTGTGGTTTTTTTTTTTTAGAGATAGAGTCTCACTTTATTGCCTTTGGTTGAGTGCCGTGCAGTCATAGCTCATAGCAACCTCCAACTGCTGGGCTTAGGTGATTCTCCTGCCTCAGCTTCTCTAGTAGCTGGGACCACAGGCGCCCGCCACAATGCCCAGCTATTTTTTTGTTGCAGTCTGGCCAGGGCCAGGTTTGAACCCACCACCCATGGTATATGGGGCCGGTGCCCTACCCACTAGGCCACAGGAGCTGCTGGAGGTCAGCATTTTGAGATCAGCCTGGGCAACATAGCAAGACTGTCTCTATAGAAAATGGAAAAATTAGCTGGGCATGGTGCCACACACCTGTAGTCTCAGCTACTTGGGAGGCTGAGCCTGAAGGATCATTTGAGTCCAGGAGTTGGAGGTTGTAGAGACATATGCATTGCAGGGACATTGCATAAGACAATGCCAATGTACTCTAGCTCAGGCAACAGAGTGAGACCTCAAAAAAATAAAAATAAAAAAAAGTAGAAGAAGAAGAAAAAAAAATAGTAGCTTAAATGGAGAAAAGTCTCCCATTTCTCTCTAACTTTCAAGATGACTAGAGCTGGCTGTATTACAAGGCCTGAAATTCCCTCTGCTGTGGTTTTTTTTGGTTTTTTTTTTGGGTAGAGACAGTGTCACTTTACCACCCTCAGCAGAGTGCTGTGGCATCACAGCTCATAGCAACCTCCAGCTCCTGGACTTAGGCAATTCTCTTGCCTCAGCCTCCCGAGTAGCTGGGACTACAGGTGTGCTGTGCTACTTTGATATCTTTGAGCCTCATGTGGCTCCAAAGGCCTGACTATGAACTTCCCTGCCTTCATTAGACAGAACCCCCTATCCCCACCCAGTGGAAAAGACTATCTGGCTAATTCCTGTTAGCCAGACCGGATGCACCCCCACTTAGTCCTTTACGTAATAGGTTTCACCTCCCTGACAGCCTGTGAAATTATTTGAATAAGCCAATTATGTCCTCCTATAAGAATGAGAATTCACCTCACCCTTTTGTCACTACAAAGTCTGCCTGCTACAGCCCCTGTTTATTCATTCTGCTTCCAAGTACATCATTCCCCCACTCCATGTGGCTCTGCATGGTGTATAGCGTCTATCTTCCCCTGGGCTATAATTGTGACCAATAAACTGATGCTTCTCTCATTTCTCATCAGGAGTTTTATTCAGCTGTCTTATACTATTTAGAGCCAGGATCTCTCCTTTACCAATGGGCCATGCTGCATCTACAAGTGACATGGCCTTCCATGGTATGCAGGACCCAGGTTGCTTCTATCTTGTTCTTCCACCAGTCAAGGCCCCTATTCCCAAGGTAATGTCATGGGCCAAAATGGCTGCTAGAGCTCCAGCCATTGCACCTACATTGCAGCTTTTTTTTTTTTTTT